ACCTCTCACTTGGCTAGCCATAACGGCATCCCAACACTTTTCGCTAGACTCTAGACTATATTTTGCAGCATTGGCAGATCGACATCGTCAAAGGGAGAAGTATGGGCCGGATATTAAGGGCGTCATTACCTATATTATTCCTCGTACTCCTCCATTTTCTCGAGGCTCGCCAGATTTTTGCTAACTCGCAACGATGGAACAAAACGCCAGGTGGGAGGAGTGAATTTGTACAAAGATGATCTGGAAAATTTCCTCAATCATCTTTGCTATCTTACACTGGGAAAACAAAAAAAATCAAAGACCTTTGCCAGCCTGCCCGGGAAAAGGATCTCCGCTAGCTTGCCCTGCAGCAAAAAAAACAAAAATGAAAGCTCCTAAGCCTCAGCCTAAGCCTAAGCCACTTGAGATTCGGAGATTCTACCATGCTAAAAATGGTCTGAAAAGCTCCCTGCAAAAATGACTCCCGAAATTCGCAAAAGATCACTGCGATTCCGCGAGGAATCACTGCTAGTTGGCCCTCCTGCCCTCTCTCTCTCCCTCTCTCTCTCTCTCTCTCTCTCTCTCTCTCTCTCTCTGATCAGCTTTGCGTTTAATAGCCTATAAAAGCTCAAATGTTTCTGCTAGCTTGCCCCCGTATTGAAAACCTGGACGCAAAGCAACACTGCTAGCTTGTCCTCCTCCCAAAAAACAAGTTTTGTAAAATCACATCACGCCATTTTTCTTTCTTCAAAAAAAAATTTTTTTTTTTAAAAAAAAATGTTTTTTTTTTTTTTTTTTTTTTAGATATTTTTAAAGGTATCTTTGCCAGCCCTCCACAATGCCCTATGCTAGCCATCCTCTCCTCAATGGTCTCTGCTAGCTGCCCCAATGGTTCCTGCTAGCCTGCCTGAATGCCTTTTCGGTTTCTCTAGGAAATCAGACTCACGTCTTGCCGACCCCCTTTAAAGCCTGATTTTCTCAATCTCGCTTCACCCGATAAGCCGGGTCGATTCAAGGTCGAACACAGGTGTCAGTCCGTCACCCCTCTCAGGCGCCTTAATATGTGCCGAGGAGTGTTGTGGAATGGCAAAAAAGCGGGTTTCCGTTTCTCGCCCCCGGGGGGGCGGTGGCTGACATTCGAAGGGGTGGTGTATTCGAAGGGTATGCCATTGTCGACAACGAGTCGATCCACCTAACACCTCTATCTCTCCCTCTCTCTCTCCCTCTCTCTCTCTCGCTCTCTCTCTCTCTCTCCCCGATCAACGGCAACTGGTCAGCTATTCTACCCCCCTGTTCGCGGACCTGTTTCCCCCTGCAGTTGCCAGCCCGAATTTTTTGGGTACCCCCGAAAAAGTACTAGACTCCGGGCTAGGCTTCCGGATACGCATTTTGAGGGCGTAAATCGTTCAAAGGGACCTGGAAGCCAGATAGAAAATCGAGGAGAACGTGGTGGACGGTAAGAAGCCGAAACTCTTAGAGAAATATGCTCCGGCGAGCTAGCAGAGGCCATTGAGGAGGGCTAGCAGAGACCATTGAGGAGAGCTAGCAGTGAACATTGAGGAGAGCTAGCAGAGGCTTTGAATTCTCCATGTCCCTTTAATCCTGATCGCTCTGTTTTCCGGGGCTTTTCATCTTCTAAGATTCTGCAAGTCTCTGGGCTTAGCCGTCGGCTGGATGGAAATGGAAAGCGGTAGTAGAAGATCAGGGCGAGAGAGAGAGAGGGAATGAGAGATAGAGAGAGAGAGAGAAAGACAGGGGCTGTAAGAGAGCCATCATCATCGTTGCCCCCTTCTCCATCCTTCCGGTTCGCTGACCATCTCTGTTCAGCCCCACAACTCGTTCCGCTCTTAGAACCCCGGCCTGAACTCACCAACATACCACAACCGCAATTTGCATACCGGGTTGGGCAAAGTAAGAAAGGGGAGGAAAGGTAAGGATTTTCGGGAAAAAATTGGCAGGATTTTTTTGATTTCGATGAAGGCTTTCAGAGGTGAAAAATAGCAGAGTGCTTTTTCATAAAATGGGGAAGCTAGCAGAGATTCTTTGGGAAAATTAGGGCCGGGCAATCTAGCCGAGGCAATTTGCGGAAAACTTTGATGCCGGCTTCGAATATATTTCGGGAAAAAATGTGATTTTTTAGGCAATCCCGGCGTGCGGATACGACTCACCAAGAAGGGGATCAACCACTTGAAAACCGTGGCCGTCAAGCTGTTCAACGAGCAGATCAGGAATATTAGGGTACGATATATTTTTACCCTGTCATTGATCTATTGTTTATAGCAGTATTTTACAATTTTTATAGTTTCAAAATAGCAAAAAGATTTTTGAGGAGTTTTTGCATAATTTTCCGACCAAAAAACTGCAGTTAAACTTTTCTAAAAGTACTATTAAAACCATTGCTATTACGTTATTACGCCTTTCTAGAGTTATGGGAAAATGCGTTTCCTCCCCCCGATAATGCAAAAGAACCAATGAACTATTACCATATTCCAGGGCTACTCATCCCAGTACCCCTTCAACCACGCCGGTATCAACGGCTTCGTGAACCTGCAAAATGTCCGAATTCTGCACTATCGACCGCCACAAGTACGCTGCCGTACCTTTTCTAGTGTTCAGTGCCCTTTGTAGTTCTCCGTCGTCAACTTTATGCCGCCGCGGTACGCCGTATTCGGCCTCGAGAATATGGATATGCAGTAAGAATTTTTAGTCTTTATTTATAAGACATATTTATTTTTATGAATTATAAAAGCTTTATCTATTCATCTCAAAAATTGCTTGTTAATAGAATAACTAATAATTTTTATTAGATTAGCCGGATCGTTTGACGGGACCGCGCCCCCATTCCAGGTAGCATTTGAATTTAAAGGGACGAGCGAGAGAGCGAGAAAAAGTAAAAGAGAGAGATAAAGCGAGAGAGCGAGTGTGAGAGAGACAGAGCGAGAGAGACAAGCGAGATAGAGCGCGAGTGCAAAGAGAGCGAGCGAGAGAGAGAGATGGAGATAGAGAGCGAGAGAGCCAGAGAGAGAGAGAGAGCGAGAGAGGGAGAAGCGAGAGAGAATAGAGAGAGAGAGAAAGAGAGAGAGTGAGCGCGAAAGATGAAATGAGCTTTTTGGTTTTTCAACAATTTTGATCAGTTTCACCGTTTCAATAGTTGTTCTAGGTTTCCGGTTCTGTCGACGGCTTCATCCAAGGGATGACCGTGGCTCTAACATCAGAATTTTCCAGGAATGAAGCTGGTAAGTGAGGTTTTTAATGCAATTTTTTTTGCAAATTTTCTTTGAACCGAAGCTTACCCTTAAAGAGAGCCGAAGAATAAGCCCATTTCCCACTTTTAAGGCATGGTAACAGTCCGGGTCTCCAACTGCTCAACAATCATCCAACAATCCCATTTCAACATCTACCCCACCGGCCCGACCGGCGGCCTCATCAAGGCGTTCGAGGTAGTGCAACGGAATCGTGGCTAAATGCCCCGTTTTTAGGCCCAAATCAACGAGGGTATCGGCAGGAGGATCCCGAATATGTTCTGCAGAAAGCTGAAGAACCTGATCGAGACAAATTCGCCGAAGATCTTTGCGAGGTTGGGAAATTGCAATTTTACCCTGTCACTGCCCCTTTAAACTAGCTAGACGTCCTTTTTCAGGCTAAGCAAAACCAATTTGCATGAGAGCTTCAAGACGCCGATCACGGAGAGCGGGCTGCTGCAAGAGTAAGTGCAGCCCAGAGCTCAAAAATCGAAAGCTCAGATTCATCCAAAACTTTGTCTCCGGCCTCTACATTGACAATCGGAACATTGCCGATCCGATCGTGACGTTTGAGTATTTTGAGATGCAGATGAAAGGTGGGAAAATAAACTTTTAAGGTATATTAAGTTATAGGCGAGGTACGGTACGAGGATAGTGAGTATTCGACGCCGTTCTTCCCAAGGTAAGTGCAGGAAATACCGTAAATCTCCGTTCCCCTCTCCTTCTCTCTTTCTCTCTTCTCTCTCTCTCTCTCTCTCTCTCTCTCGTCTCTCTCTGTCTCTCTCTGTCTCTCTCTCTCTTTCTGTTCACGCTCTCTCACTTTATGTGCCTCTCTCGTACTCGTTTCCCCCCTCTCTCTATCTCTCTAGTTCGCTCTCTACCCCTTTATCTCTCGCTTTTCCAGACCGATGCTGACCCCCGAATCTACCGACAGAATGCTGTACTTCTACGGCTCGGATTATCTCTTTAACTCCCTCCTCTACCATGCCTACCAAAAGAATAAGCTCAATATGGAGGTAACGCACAAATTCGGTTTTTAAACGCGATTTAAGTTAAACTCCGACAATCTTCCCGAACGCTACAAGGGATTCCTATCGACGGCATGTGCGAAGCGGAAAGCCCGTGATGTCGTCAGCCAGTATTGTATCGGGCGTCTGGTGCCGGCTATTGCGGTGAGAGACAGAGAGATCGGCAGCGAGAGAGAGAGAGAGAGAGAGGGAGAGAGAGAGAGAGAGTGAGAGTGGGAGAGGGCGAGAGAGAGAGAGACGATATATAACCTTCAATTTCAGGAAGCCTTTCCCGACTCAAATACCTCCTTCGTCCTGCTCCCCCACGGACTGCCAGATTTTCAGTTCAATGGAGATGCCGGGGCCATTACACTTTCCAGTAAGTAGTAAATCTGGTATTTCTACAGTAACCCCCACATTTCAGCCCGAATCATCACCTATGTCGACGACAACGGGTTCGAACGCCAGATCATGGTGGCGTCAGCGGATGGGCAGGCCGATTTGCAGCTGCTCGCCAAGGATGGAAAGTTATCAGGTTTGTGGCGCTCCGCGGCTTTCAACGGCGAGCTCGAGCAGTTCAGTAGTATTGAGATCTTCCTACTATCTCTCGCTCCTCTCTCTCGCTCTGTCTTGCTCTCTCTAGCACTTCCCCCCCCCCCTCTCCCACAAATTTCCCAAGTTTCTTGCCACGGCGACTTCAAGCAGTTCACTAGCACCTTAAGAAATCCCAAGTTAACGACTCGTTTCCCAAAATACCAGCTTTCCAGGCGACATGAAGCTGAACAAGCTGAACGTGCACCTACATCGCAGTAACCTGCCCGACCTCGACCCGTCCACCATCGAGGGTCTCGCCCCGCTGGCGAAGAACTTTGTCGTCCCTCAAGTCGGGCAAGGGCTAAAGCGCGGAATACCATTTCCGATCAGGGTAATATTTAGTGGAATGTGTACTTTATCTCTCTCTCTCTCTCTCTCTCTCTCTCTCTCTCTCTCTCTCTCTCTCTCCCTCACAATTCCCATCCTTTCAGGACCAACTTGAATTCGTGAACCCGACGCTGCGGGTAGACGATGGGTACGTCGAGCTGGCCGCCGACTTCATCCTCAACGAGGCCGTCCTCAAGAAAAAGATGGCCGCCGCGTTCACTAACATTAAAATTTAATTCAGTCGGTCTTAATACGTATTTTTCTTCTTTTCGCCGTTTTGTGTGTCTCGATATGATTACGGGTATTGTTTTAATCGTTATAATTGATGTAAATAATAAAGATGTGATGTATTATGCCACGAATTTTGTCAATAATGTAAAACTTTTTAATAGGAAAACGTTAAAGGAAGCTAGAAATAAAAGTGTGCTCACATGAGTGCGTCTCGTCCTCTTTTTTCTAGGACACTCTAACTCTCTATCTCCTTTCTCCTTCTCTGACCGCCGACCCTTTTTCATTCTCCTGCTCCTCCTCCCCGTCTCTCTTTCTCACACATTCCCTGGCTATCTCTATAGCTCTAAAACCTATCTTTCTATACATCTCTCTCTCTCTCTCTCTCTCTCTTTCTCTGTATGTCTGTCTCTCGCTATATCACCCTCTGTCACTCTCGCGCTCTCTCACTCTCTATCTCTCGCTCTCTCACTCTCTCGCTCTTTCTCGCTCTCTCTCTCATTCTCTCGCTTTCTCATCTCCCTCACTCCCTCACCTTCTTTCACTCTCTCTTGCTCGCTCTCCCTCTCTCTCTCTCTCTCTCTGCATTTTCTCGCTCAGAGTTAGCGCTAAAAATGCTAAAATTTCGTCCAAAATATTTTTAGTCTGCAAAATCCTTGATTCCCTGTTCCACCCCAAGCCCCCGAACCCCCCAGCCAAAACCTGAAATGCGAGAACGGCGATGGCCACGACTCGGTCCCAGGCGACCCCCAGCTACTATTTACTCGGTCGATGGACGGGTGTGGGGTGTGATTGGCATTTTCCAGGGGGCATTCGGCTTCGACGTCAGCCCAGGTAGAAGAACCAGTTTTGGGTGCCGCACTTGCTACACCCAGTACCGGGCCGTACTACGAACAGGGCAGCGTTGTGCGTTGTTGGGATCCCCTTTCCCCCATCACCCTGCGGGGTCTTCTCAGCTGTGATGGAATCGATGGGCTGAATGGACAGAAAAGACAGACATACACACACAGATGTGAGGGGAGGAAACGCAAGGAGTCGTCTCCTACTTCCTCCCAAAGCATTACCCGATGGTTTTCTGGGTTTCTGTTTGTTTTTATGAGCAATCGCGGCCCATATGGTCCAATACTTTTCGCGATTACTTGGTATCGGACATGGAAACGATTATTCTATTTTTTGTTGTTTTTCGAAATCGGCCTTTTTATTGAATACCTTTTTGATCGATTTTTTTAAACGGATTAAGTTGTATAATAGGATTTTAGACGTCAAGAGAATACGTTTTTTTAACGATTATTTACTACAGGATATCGAAACGATTATGCAATCTATATGTCTCACGACTTTTAGAGTTAAAAACCTTTTTTTAAAATACTTTTCCGTAGTTCCGTTGTTCTTTTCGTTAAATTTTATACTCTTTTTCAGGGAAATTCGAACTTTTTACGATAAAATTAAAGCGAACTTTTAACCAAGCCAATCCCCATTAACTTTTTAAGTCAAAACCATCATTTAAATGAGTTTTTCAGTGTTTGTTATTACGTTGAATCGGATATTTACTTTTTAAGGTCAGTTTTCATATCCTTTTGCGGCGTTGAGGCCCATATTTGTCGAATAATTGGTATTGCAACCGCTCGGAATGTTGTATTTACGAAACTTTCTGAATTTACGACAATGTCCTGTCTCTCTCGCTCTCTCTCTCTCTCTCTCTCTCTACCCTCTTTCTCTATCTGTTAATACTTCCCGATGCCCCCTCCACATCCCGAATGTTGATACCCCGGCTTCTATTTGGCTAAATAGCTGCCGGGCCGCATGAGGGGTGGATTGTTTTCCCGGGCGGCCCGGGCCAGTGAAAAGCAAAATATTACCCAACCATCTGCGATCAGATAGTGTCCGGTGGAGCGTTGCGGATCATATGCGTCATACGGCGAGTGGGAAGGGTTTTTGTAACTCTCTAGGGAGGGGCGGCTAATAGGCTGGCCCACGAAATTCGGCCAAAATTAGGCAATCGCTTTCGCTCTCTCTCTCTCTCTCTCTCTCTCTCTCTCTCTCTCTCTCCCTCTCTGGCTCTCTCCCTCTCTCTCTCTCTCTCGATATCTCTCTATCGCTCGTTATTTAATCATACCATTTTCAGAATTTCTACTCGGGGTGATGCCCCTGGGCGGTCTATTCGGTGGCGGGTCGAAGGCGCAACCGCTCTCGAATGAAGCCCGCGAAAAGGGGAAGGGAAAGGATGGAAAAGACGATAAAGATGCCAGAGGCACTCAACTACACGTCCACAATCACAATGTTGTCGTCGACAAGAAGTTGGCTGAAGGTGGGTGTTTTCTTGGCCATCTCTCTCTCTCTCTCTCTCCCTCTCTCTTTAGCTCTCTCGCTTTCACACTCTCTCTCGCGCTCTCTCCCTCTCTCTCCCTCTCTCTCGTTCTCTCTACCTATCGCTGTTCAGGCGGTTTCGCCATCGTCTACCTCGTCGTCGACAAAAAGAACCGTCAATTCGCCCTGAAACGACAGTTCATCAACGACGACTTGAAGCAGGTCGAAGCCTGCCGCCGCGAGAGCCAAATTATCGTGAGTAGCTAGCCGACGCCTTCGACGAGTACAACAGCAAAATCCAAAATTTCTTTTAGAGCAGCCTCCGGGGCCACAAAAACATCGTGGAGTACGTCGACCACTCGCTGGAGAAGAACAAGGCCGGCGTGTACGACTACATGCTGTTGACGGCCTATTATAAAAGTATGCTTGTTTCTCAATTGCTTAAAGTTGGAATTGAGGCGCAAAAATGGTGAAATCTAAATAATTCAAATTTTTATCTATTCTATCTGTTCAGCTTCTGTGCTCGGGGTGATGAACGAGAAATTGGTGCACGGCAAGGGTTTCTCCCCCTCCGAGGTGCTGGCCATCTTCTGCGACATGTGCGAGGCGGTCGCCAGGCTTCACCATTCTAATACCCCCGTCATACATCGGGACTTAAAGGTATGACCAAGTTGAACTCCTTGAACTTGCGTTCGATTCCAGGTGGAAAATATTCTGGTGGATGAGCGGAATCGCGGCGCGGCTCCCATCTATGTGCTGTGCGATTTCGGGAGTGCGACGACTCGGGTGAGTTCAGGGCTTAAATTTTTCATACTTTAAAGGGAACGTGACAGGAAACTTTTGCAGGTGTTGTCCACCGACGCCTACCCGATCAGCGCCATCCAGGAGGAGATCGAGCGGTACACGACGCTCAGCTACCGCGCCCCGGAGATGATCGACCTGTACTCCGGGCGGCCGATTGGTTCGTTTTCTATAAACAACCCACATTTCGATTTCGATTTCGACGCCTAGATCTCGACAGTTTTTGAAAAAACCGGAACTAAAACTTCTTTCAGGTACCAAGGCCGATATCTGGGCCCTTGGGGTGATGCTCTACAAGCTGTGCTACTTCGCGCTCCCCTTCGGCGACTCGGCGTTGGCCATTCAAAATGGCGCCGTCACGTTTCCCGCCACCCCGGAATACCCGGTTGAGATCCGGACGATCATTCGTAAGTTGAACTGAATCTAGCTCTCTCTGTTTCTCTCTCGTTCTCGCTCTCTCTCTCTCTCTCTCTCTCTCTCTCTTCACCGCGGCTCTCGGCGTAGCTCACTCTTTGAGCCTGAGAATTCATTATAGCTCTCTCTCTCTCTCTCTCTCTCTCTCTCTCTCTCTCTCTCTCTCTCTCTCTCTCCCCTCTCTCTCTTTATCTTCGTCTCTCTCTCGCTCTATCTCGCTCTCTCTCTTTATCTTCGTCTCTCTCTCGCTCTCTCTCTCCTTCTCTCGCCAATACCTTGAATTCTAGGAACCCTGCTCAACGCCAATTCTGACATGCGCCCGAACGTCTACCAAACCTCGGCGCTCGCGTCTGACGCCGCGAAGCGCCCGAACCCTGTACATAATATTGAGGTATCATCCCGAAATTTGTATACAATTAATCTACGATCTCAGAAAGTAACCACCCCGAGTTTGGAGCGATCAGTGGCCGATTTTCTGGAGGGCCGAGTGCCCGGAAAGGAGGCGACCGTCGCGTATGTGAAAGTCGAGAAAAAGGTGCGAAAAGTTTGTGCATACTCGGCTAGTTTTCCTCAACGGTCTTTGCTAGCCTTCCTCAGAGATTCTGCTAGCTTTCCTAAATGACCTCTGATAGCTTTCCTCATTGGTATCTGCTAGTTTTCCGCGATCTCTACTAGCTCTCATCAATCATCTCTGCTAGCGTCCCCAAAATCTCTAATTTTCAGCCCGACCCTCCGCCCCAACCCAGCCCACAGCTCGACCCGATGCGCAGCAGCCAGATTCAGCAGCCCCAGACGACGTCCGTCAACCCCAGGCTGCGCCCGAAACCTACGAACAGCGTCCCACGGCTTCCGAATATGGCCTGCGCCAGTCCACAGGTAGATTTTTTGCAATTTAAGGATTGTCCCCGCCCCCAAGACTTGCAGCTTTTGTGTCATCCTTGAATTCAACTGATAAGACCCCCTATTGAGTGACTCACCCTCCAATTTTGTCTACAAGAAAGCACACGTAGCCAAAAAAACAGAGGCTGGTGTTTGGCATCACGCGGAATTTATTGAAATTTTTGGATTTGGATTTTTCTATAAATTTATCCCTTTTCATATTGCCGTTTCGCTCTCTCTCTCTCTCTCTCTCTCTCTCTCTCTCCCTTTCTCTCTCCCTCTCCCTCTCTCGGTATCGCTTTATGTCTGGCACTCTCACGCTTTATCTCTCTCCTAATAAATCTTTCTTTTCCGCTCGTGTTCTCTCTGTGCGTCTCTCTCACTCTCTCGCTCTTTCTCTTTCTCTCTCTCTCTCTCTCTCTCTCTCTCAAAACCTCCAAACGCTTTTTCACCTTCGTTACCTAGTCGACAAGCAGGGAAATTCCGGTCCTTTCTATCCCCCCTTGACCGCCTACGCAATCAAAATCTGCTATTCAGCTTCAACCCCGCTCCACGACGACGCGAACAACAAGCAACTCTGAGCCGGATCTACCCCCGACCACCAGCCAGGCTTCATCAACCGTTCTTCCCCCCCCGGAAGTCGATCTGGGCCCCCTGTCGTGTCCGTTGATGAAGGCCGACGCGAGCTTTGATGGATTAGGTGAGCTTAGGTTTTGCGCATAGTTACCGTAGCCTTGAATCAACGAAGCTCGTGCTTGTTGTCATTCAGGAAACATAATTAATTTTCAGTTATTGCGAATTTTACTTACGAATTAGCGGCGACTTTAGTGAAACTTCCCGTTTCAGACGAGATTGCACGACGCCCAAGGCGGACTGAAGGCAGCGCCGAGACCGTAACCGACAGCTCGAGAAAAACATCTCATGTACGAAACGTCAGCGACTGCTCCACTATCATCAAAAGCGCCTTCAAGCCGTACAGCCAGACGAAGGAGAGCCAGGGAGAGGAGCGACAGGTTGGCGAGGTTTATTTTCAATCGTAATTTTGTGATTTAGTGGAACCCGTTCACCTCTGCGCCGTATGGGACTGGTGAGGGGATGGACGACTCGAGATTTGGGGCCTGCTTCGACGAGCTTCCGCGAAACTCCAACCAGGAAGGTCGACGAGTTTGAGAGGGGTTTTTAAAGGGACTTGGAAGTCAAATCGGATCGGATTTTTTTGGTACTTGGAAGTAAATTTTTGCTAAGTGATTTTTGCCGGGATTTTCGACTTCCTACTTTTCGGTGTTTTTATTTTGGACTTCTTTGTCTCGGGCCTCAAGGCCTGTCCTCCTTTCCATAGCGTAATCGATTGCCCGACGGCGCCTTGCCGGTCCTTTTAAAGAGACCGATCAGTCGACGAGCGGCGCTTCCCAATCCCTTTAAAACCCATAATTCCAGTCTCCGAACTGCTCGACGAGATGGACGGGTGCTCGATCGACTCGAAGGACCCGTTCGGTGCAGCCCCATTCGAAGCTCCGCCCCTGGCAGGTAGTCATCTACCGCATGAATATCAACTTCCCCTTCCCTCTATTTCTGACTGTCAACCCTCTCCGCCTTTCCCTGCTCTATCACCCCGGAACGGGTCCGATTCGAATGGGCGGGTTCGCATTCACAAAATTCAAATTTTGGATGGGCCGGCTGTAAAAGGTGATCGTGCGCCTCCTACGGCACCCAGGACAACTTCACTGTATAGAGGAGGGTATCGGAATTAGTGTTTTTTTTGCGGGGTTAAGCTTTAAAGGGGCAGAGAAGTGATTTTTCCACTATTTTTACGACTTTTGACGACACTAGTCGACGGTCCTTTCGAACGCTTTGCAGGCGCGCGCGCGCCGAGCGGCGAAATTAAGGCCAAAATACCTAGAGCTATGCCCAATTCAGCGTTCTGAAAAGTCAAAGATAGCCCGAAAATTAGGATCTACGAGGCACGCACAGGGCAAAGCGTTCATAGGAATCGCGCGTAGTCGTGCATCCATTTGCGGCTCTTTGAGCGTCTCTGTCCCTTTAAATTATCTCAATTATTCCCAGTTCACGCTCCTTTCAAAACGCCTTAACTCCCTTTAAAAGTTACGGGAAAAATTTCATATTTGTTGTTAACGTCTCTAGGTTTGTAAAAAAATGCTAATTTTGACGACTTTTCTCAACTTTCCAAACTTATAAAACCCAAAAATCTCTCAAAATGTGGCTTTTTCTACTGTAATAATTAGAGTACGTTATCAAAAATAATAAATACTACTTAGCCCTGAATTTCAATAGCTAAGAATTTTATTTAGTTTAGAAATAACTTTATTTGAAAAAGCCCAAAGACTCCAAGTCCCAAAAAATCCGCACAGTATTACTCTTCCTCGTCGTGATGTGGTGATTCGTGTGTACTTGATTAATTTTTTGAAGGTTTTAGAACTTAAAAAGTGCCTTGCTCGCTCGTGTAAATAGTACATACCTGTACCCCCCAATACGCCTTGCCTTGGATAAAAATTTCTATCTGCTATCCATTTCTTGCATCTGCCCCCAAAATGCATGCAAAAATCCTCAGCTACAACAAGGACACCTTTTCAGAGCGGCGCAAGTTGCGGGGAGAGCGGGAGCGCGACTCGCTCGGGTCGGCCGGGGATCTGGCGAAACAGATACAGGTTGGGGAATTAGTGTTAAAAAGAATACGTCCAAAAATGTCCTGTCGCGTTTCGTATCACGCTGCGCTTAGCCAGCCCTGCCGCGTTGCGCCAAGCGGGGCCTGTCGCGTCGCGTATAGCGCAGCTTTCCGGGTTACGTATCACAATGTCCGCCACGTGCGCATCGCTGGAACTGCGCGTTGCGTCCCGCCAGAGCTGTGTGTGTGTCGCGTCTTGTCGCGTCGCGTATCGCGGGATCTGACGTGTTGCGTCTGGCGGGACCTATAGCCCCGCGCAGGCTGCCGCGTAGCGTATCGCGCTGAGCCAAGCGACCCCTGTAGCGTAGCTCGTCACGTCGCGCGTCGCGTTGTGTGTCGTGCTTCGTATAGCATTGCTCGTCGTGCAGTTTGTCATATTGCGCGTCGCGTTGCGCGTCGCGGTTCGTATCGCGCTGCGCCTCGTGTTGCGTGAAGCGTTGCGTAGCGCGTTAAATGACGCAAGGCCGGTAGCGTTTCATATCGCGAGCTGATCGCGTTGAGTATCACGAGATCAGTCACCTCGCTTGTCGCAGCTAAGGTGAAATTCATGACCATGCGCTTCCGTTTCGCGTTCGGTTTTCGGGCAAGCGAGCAAAGATCTTTAGGGAATTCGAATTGAATTCAACACCAAGCCCAAATCTCTAATTTTCAGGAGGACTCCTCGGACATGGACGAAGCCAGAGAAGCGTCGCGACGTCGGTTCAGCTATGAACATATCGATGGTAATATTAAAGGTTTTCGAATATTTTTTTGCGTTTCCTAGGTGTGGGCGACGACGCGAGCAGCGACAGCCGAGCCAGAACGGAGGACGACAGTAATACTGATGATCAAAAGGTAAAAAATTGGGGAGTCTCCCAGTAGCTGCTCACAAGTTTTTGCTCAATTTTTTGTACTGTACGTGTTTTTGTAGTTGGACGACGATGAAGACGAAGCCGACGCGTCGCTGACGACCGAGGGCGGGGCTCAGACAGATGAGGAAGGGGGTAGTAGACCTCTGCTTGACGATGACGAGCTCGAGATGGAGCACGAGGTAAGCCAGGTGGCAGGATTGGAAAACTAAGAAGCAAAATTCGATTTTTTAAAATTTTCTACAGCCGAAAGGTGACCATAGAATAAAAAACCAGCGTAGTCTAGGCTCCAGCGTGTGCGTGGCGTAGCAATCCAAAAAAAGAATAGTTTATCTTATTTCAATTTTCAGGACAACGACGCGCTGTGGATCGAAGTGAGCGCGCGAAAGTGCACAAACCCCTTCCTCTGCTCCACCCCGCAATTCCAAAACCAACCCCCAGCTTTTCGCAACGAGAAAACGCCCGAACCACCGAAGGTTAGAAAATTAAAATTCTTATATTATGAATTTTGCCATTCCAGAATCCTCCAATCTACCATGTGCCCGCTTCGGGACCCGTGGAACGGCGCGACACGCTGACCTACGAAAAGTGAGCAAATTCGGCACAAACAGTCAATGCGATATTTTTCAGACCTTCCCTTCCCTCGGTACCTCCTCTCAACAGCTTCCAAGCGCCCGCCACCCTGCCTCGCCAAGTTACCCCGCTTTTTGCCGTGCCGAGGGCTTCACCGAAGGCTGTGGAAACGATGGTGAAGCCGGTAAATATGGTAAGTTAGCATATCTCATGCATGAAAATGAAGCTGATAGCCGAAGCCAAGCCTAATCCGAGCTTAGACCACGCTTAAGCCTACGTGTAAGCCAAGCCTAAGCCAAGCCTAAGCCCCTAAACCTAACTCAAGCCGAGCTTAAGCCTAGCCCAAGTAAGCCTAAGCCTTGCTAAGCCAAACCTAAGCCAAGTCTAAGCTGAATCTAAACTAAGCCTCAGCCCAGCCTAGATGTCAGTCTCATCCATGCCTAAACCAAGCCTAATCCTAAGCTTAACCTAAGCCAAATCTAAGCGAAGCCAAAGCCAAAGCCCAGCATACGCCTAAGCCGAACTCTAGCAGCTTAGAGTCTATTTTCAGCCAGCGCCACCTGTCCCTGCTAGTGCCCCCGTCGTTGCCTACGAACCGCCGGTCGTCGGCACCCTTGTCGACGTCACCGAACCGGAGACGTACCGGGAAGAAACCGTCATCTACCAGGTGCGCTAAATTAGGGCAGTCTAGCGGAGGTTCTGGATGAAATATTTGAGTTATTATGACAATAATGATAATAATTTCCAGGCCCCACCACCCGTCCCATCACACAAAACCTCGCGTTCTTCCGCCCAGAACGAGGCGCAGCGGAGTGAAATTTCGGTACGGGTTTGAAGCTTAGAATTAAAATTAAAATTGAACTGAATACGGCTGAATTAATTCTATTTTTAGCTGCTAAGCCGCTCGACCGAGAACGCGGACTCGTTCAGCGCCGTCCACGCAATCGCCTCGTCCTCGCTGGTAACGCAGGCGACCCCTAAGGGGTTCGGCTACTGCAGCCCGCGCACCAAAAAGGAAAAGAAGAAAAGTGTGGCTAGGTGGGTCCGGGGAAGCTGACCTTTAATCACCAATTTCCATCTTCAGAAAACCATCGTCCAGCTCTGAAGAATCGCCCCAGACTGACGACAGCGGCGCCGAGATGTTCAGCAGGTGCGGGTTTGGCAAAACTTTTCAGTAGGACAAAATTTGAGAATTTTGGAAAATGCCAGCATGATCTCAATAAGTAAATAAATGAATTTTGAAAGACATTCTCTAACTTCTCGAGTTCAGCAACACAACCGAGGGCAAGTCGAAGAAGGGCAAGCACAAACTGCGTGGATCCCACTCTTCCGTGGTGGCCGTGGCCCCAACCGAGTTGAAGTTGACCCCGATGGATGTACAGAAATTGCGTAAGTTATTGACGCCGGCGATTTTTGCCTTCCCCGGGCCTTTAAAAAGTTTTAGGGCAATTTAAAGGGTCATTGACGTCAAAACCAGGGCCATTTTGCCTGCGGATAGAGTTGAAAAACAATTTTAAAGATTTAAAAAATAGAAAGATATGAAAAAGACCGATTTTTCGGATTGGAATTCTTTAAAAACGAAAAACGAAAATATTAGCGAAAATTTCAGAAAAACGCGGCAGCAGCTCGAAGCGGGGCGACTACAGCGCCGGGGCGGCCAATGCCAGCTTTGTCAACAGCAGTTTTCAGGTGAACAATTGTGTCGCGTGGTACGCCATAGTACTGTGGTTTTACAGTAGTCCAAAAAAGCGCAAAAACGAGGCAAAAATTACAATTCCAGGCCGAAGACATCGACTCGCCGCCCCGGGTCAGGAATACAATACTGCAAAAATCTTAACTGTAGCGATTTTTTTCTGCCTATCTCTCGCTGTCTCTCTCCCCCTCTCTCGCTCCCTCTCTCTCTCTCTCTCTCTCCATTTCCTGCCAAATGGTACCCCACTTACGGTTGTTTCCCCCCTGGAAAAATCCAACATGTGAAGCTCGCGCGTGCAATTATTATTTTCTTGCTTTCCTGTTCCCCCTTTGAAAACCGGTGCCAAGCCGTTACGGTAGCGTTTCCACTATTTATCAACATGCCCCTCTTTTGATGATACAACACGATACTTCACTTATTATTCGCTGGCTATTTTGGATACTCGAATTTTCGTCTGAGGTTTTGCAAGCAATCGATCGCGTGTCAAATTAGCATAATACTATGCGAGACTGGTTCTTTTTGCGGAAATGCGGTGATGATAAATATTGATTTGAAGTGTGGTTTACACAGAATTGGTACAGTGGACGGGTTTTTATCAAAATAGCATAGGCATAGGCTTAGGCTTAGGCTTAGCGTTAGCTTGGGCTTATACCTAAACTTTCCTTGCTGATAGGCTAGGATTTGGAAGCAATTATTGAGGGCTTTTCTAAGGAATTCTGCGATTTGGATAAAGTTTCGCATAGGAGTGACAAAAATCCAATTTTCCTTCATTTCGCGAGATGCGCGCCCCGATTTTGGCTTTAAAGGTATCGTAATTGTGCCTAGACGTCAAACGTCTACGTTTCTAACCAAACTATGCTTTGAAGATTTCCTAGTTTTAACGTTTTCAAAACCAATGTTCGTTACCAAACTTTCTAGGGTTGTCTCGGCTTCTCGAATGGGCTTCTCCTCCTCGGCAGCAGCTTGTTGACCGTCTACCTCTTTATCGTCATCCTGATGGCCGCGCTTGGGCAGTGGGTTCGAGTAGAAACTAGAGTTTATAGAAATACAGGGTGTCCCATAAAAAAGCACCCCTCCGGCATTTCGCCATATTACATCCGATCGGTCCCAAATTTGGACCAGAGGTGTATCAGACCCCAAATAACCACAATCCTAAGTTATAGCCCGCCAGCTGCAGTAATTTTCGAGATACATCAAAAATAAACTTTATTATCCGTTTTTCATCAGGTTTTTCTCGGAATCGACCCTTCGAATATGAAGTGAAAATGAAGCGGCAATCCTTCTTTACCCTTAGAAATTTTTTCCTGGTAAAAATTCATCAAATAACCGTTGATTTAAACAATTTTTGTAACCTAAAGTCACCCCGATATTAAGCGAAATTAGGGATTCGCAGCCGGAAGTCGATGCAAATCGATGCAAAGTCCAAAAAGATTGCCAAAAAAAGTGTTCAGAATCGCGTAAAAAATAGGATTTTGGCGATAACTTGAAAACTACCGTAGCGATCCGGCTATAACTCAGGATTGTGGTTATTTCCGGTACGATACACCCTTGTGCAAAGTCTGGGACCGATCGAATGTAAGGCGGCTAAATGCCGGAGGGGTGCTTTTTTTGGGACACCCTGTAGATACTAGAAATAGCTACTTTATACCCTCTATCCCCCCGATAATGCAAAAGCTCCGTTTTAAGGCAGACGTGCCGTTGCGTGCTGAGTAATCGGGCCGTCGAGCTGCCGGCGAACGATTTCTTCGACTGGAAGGAGGGGCTCAATGACACCATCTTGGTGCGATTTTCCTCTTGGTTTTTTCACCTCAAAAAGTTAGCTTTAGCTCCAAAAATGCAACCAGCACATCGCGGCCAAGGGCGAGCAGCACATCGTGACGGATATTGAACGGATGCAGCTGCTGGACGAACAATTGACGGTAGGGTTTCTAAAACGCTAAACTGCAGATCCCCCAGCCTAACCTCGCGTACTGTATCTCGGCTCCCCGTTGTCCTACGGAGTTGTAAAATAGCTCAAAATACTCGCGAGAGCAAGGCGAACATTTTGGTATACTTTACATCTTTGTACGATAAAGGACAGCCGAAATACAAAAATCTACCGTCGGGCCCGCTAAAATGCACTCCAGCTATCGTATCTCGATTCCAGCGCCTCAGCCCGGCGGCCAGAGGGAAGACGATCGCATTGTGGGTTTTTAGTACCTTCGAGGGGGAAGTATAGCGCTTCATCCAAAATCCATACCCCTGCCTTACCCGTTCAGGGAGGGGCCGTGTACTCGTCCCAACGTGTACACCCTATGGACGTAGGGACCGCGCGCACTGCCTGCCCGTGCTGTGACAGGCCAATCCCCTCCTTTGCAGCGTGGGGCGCCCCTCGCCTGGTTGTAGCTGTGGCTGACTGGTATCCATCCGCGCCTCCCAAGCGGGGGGTCCGGGTTCGACCCCCGGCCGCGGCAAAAATCTGTGCCTTTTTTCCAAAAAAACGTCCCTGAACGTGTCCTTTAAACCCAAATCTTCCGCGTTCAGCATCTGCCTGACGGTGATCAAGTGGTGGGTGGTGATCCCGGTGTTCCTCGGTGGGTCCCGAATGGAAATTGGTAAGCTAACCGGAGCACCTTACAGTCGCCATCACCCTGTTGATGATCACGGCTTCATCGTGTCGCGGGCTGTGGTCCGATCGGGATTATTGCATTCAGATACCAGCCATTGTGGCAGCGGTACGTCAAATTTACAAGGAAGGAAAACGTTTATTGCAGGTAGTCGTTCTGGCCGGCTTCATCTTCTTGGCCCTCAAGTTCAACAGCGACAGCGGCAAGCTGGGGCTAACCATGCGAAGTTTTTTGCGTAAGTTGGTCTTACCGAACCCAGATTGCCATAGATCCGCAAATTCGAACTTTTTCAGTGCCCATCATCGAGCACACCATCTACCTGGCCCTGCTGGTGACGCTGTGCATCTACGCGTGCCGCCGCGAGAAGTCGTCGAAGCGCCAAGTGACGCCCCCCACGAAGAGTTCAGACGCCGCCCCGACGATCGCCTCCCAAAAGTCGATGGCCTCGACGCCGAGCCGGAAGTCCCCAGGGCCAGCGTCTTCGAGCCGTTCAGCAGCACCATCTCCGGCACCGCCACCGCAATCCGTACCGACGCCCTCTTCCCGCGAGCCGATCAATGTGAGCTTATTTTTACTGTTTTAGCATGCTCGAACGGCTCGAACTCGACTGCCAGCAGCACATCATGACTTTCAGAACGGTACTGGATCCGCCGAGCCAATGGTCCAGGGGCAATCGGCAGAGAGTGGTGATGCCCATCCTCTACCGGCTGCAAACAACAACAACAACAACCCGCCGACCTTCCTCGCGGCGTCGGGTGGTGGGGAGAAGATCAGCGACGATTCTCCACCACGAGCGCCCGAGAAGCCAGTGGCCTACGCGGGTGGCCCTAACCCGGCTGATACCTGGTAGATACGGTATGTGGAGGGATGGGCGAGCTAGCAGGGATTCCTGAGGCAAACCATTTCCGGCACAAACCAAGTTTTGTTAGGAATTTAGAAAAATTTCGAAATTAACTTAGAAAATTTTTTTAAGAAATAAAAAAAATTTTCGGGGCAAACTAGCAGTGATGCTTAGCTTTTTCTATGATTTAGGCGAAACTACTTTCGAATTTCAGAAACTTGCCGACGACGTCGACATTCCACTCGAAATGCCGACCAAACAACCCTCCCATTAATGCTCCACGCGAGACTTTTCGAACCGTATTTTCTTCAAACCGATGGCTGTCTGTGTATTTTGTTCTTGTGGCCCGGAGTCGAGTCAGGGATAAATAAATTTTCGTGTTCGTACCTCATGCTCTCTTTTGGGCTGATGCTCAGGATCTGCTCAAGCGCAGACTAAGAATCAGGTTCAAGGCTTAAGCTTAGGCTTAGGCTTATACTTGGGTTAGTCTTAGGCTTAGGTTTAGCTTAGGCTTTGCTTAGACTTTAGCTCAGGCTCAAGCTCAGGCTCATACCGAGGCTCATGCTCAAGTTCAAGCTTTGGCTTAAGCTTAGACTTTGCTTAACTAAACTTTTCATAAATGTACACTTTTCTATTTATTAGACCTTAACATTTCCCGCTAAATCCAACCCGATCTGCACATAGCCCGAGGGCCTATTTGGGTAGGTGGGCGGCGGCACGGTAGAGGCCGGAGGAGGGGGCACCGCCCACTTGACATTGAGACTGTCATCCAGCCGGACCACTTGAAATGATTGAGAGCCACCTAAGGCGGGGGCCCACTTTGGCAGTTGGGCCACTTTTGTATTCATCTACCTGATGGTATTCCGATGCGGCCAAAAGCTGGGAATTCTAAATTCAGTCCGAAAATTTGGGATCGATCCTTGAGATGTCCTGCTTGAGCTTGCTGCCTATGTCACTAGCTCTCTCTCGCTCCCTCTCTATCTCTCTTGCTCTCTCTCTCTCGCTCTCTCTCCCAAAACCAATCGCCGCTGACGAGTCGATGGCCGGTAGTGATCCAAATTCGCATCGGCCGGATCAATATCCGCCATCGCCTTGCCGTCCACGATTTATTCTTGCCGTTTACGGCCTCTTACCGTAATCCGCAGCTCATTACGTCTACCGTATACCATTCAAATCTCTTTATCTCCACGTAAAATCCAAAAAAGACACAAAAATGGATGGACATAGAAAGCGGCGGGTACGAGTTTAGTGTTCCTGGTTCCGGTCGTTATTTTCGATTTTTTTTCTTGATGTTGCTGTAGCTATTGGGCTGTCGATGCGGGCGGTGCCTGAAAAATAACGAAATCCTTGAACTCCTTGCAGACGCCGTTGGCGGATTAGCTCCGCGAAGCAAACCCACAAAGGCTCACCCCTAAATCGCCGCCACGATGGTCGGCGTCGCGACGACGTCCTTATTGGGGGCCTGGGCCTGGCTGTTAGTCGACTAAAATGATCATCTACCGGGTGGATTGATCATCTACCTTGCTGGACGGCTTGGGGCTGGGTGTAGTCGGGGGCTTTCCGCTTTTATTCCCGCCGGCCGGCGTTGGCCAGCCCCCAGTCTCCTTGATGCCCTTCCGCTTCCAATACCCCTCATCGTTGGCCGACGCGTAGTAGCAGAAGCCGATGGTGAGCACAAGGTAGATGAACGAGCTGACGACTTGGCCTAGGGGGTAGGGATCAAGGTGTAGGCCCGAGAAAAGGACATTCTGTAAGGAAGTTATCGGACCGTACCGGACAGTGTCCTGGCAGCAAGACTGCTCGCATCGCCGGCGATGCGCAGTACCATCCAAGCCGTGCCGAACAGGGTCAGCATCAACATCTACGGGGTGAGTTTGGATTGAGTGTCCAAGGCTCGCTGACCGTGCAACAAACAGAGGCTGGATGCCATCCGCATTGCGTATCGTGGAAGAGACCGATACACGAGAGACAGGCGGCCAGAACGGCGAAGAACAGCACGATGCCGAGGGGAATGCCCAGCCACCACCATTGGGAGAGGGTACAGGTTCTAGATGGGTGGATTGGGAATGAGAGAGAGAGAGAGACAGCGAGAGAGCGAGAGAGAGCGAGAGAGGGCGAGAGAGAGCGAGTGAGACATAAAGACAGAGAGAGAGAGATGGAGAGAGAGAGAAGCGAGAGAGTGAGAAAGCGAGAGAGAGAGAGACAGATAGACATACAGACAGAGAGATTTCCGTATTCCAGCCAAGACCTACGTGATGATTTTCCCCGCGGCATCCCTCTCCACTCCGTTCTGGAAATTGTATTGAAGAAACGCGGCTTTTGGACCCTGGTACTATATATATAAAAAATGAGAAATGGCTTCAAAATCTAAATATCTTGGTCGGGATAAAAAACGTAAATATATTTCGCTGCCAACCCAACATTAAATTTTGTTGGAAAGATTTGTAGGGCTCTTTTACTCAACAAGAATTAAAAACAAAATACAACGGCATTCGCTCTTCATAAAAAATCCAGGCTTGCGGCCAAATAAAGTCGGGTTTAATATACAGGGTATCCCACACCCCCCTAGCCGGTCGTAGACCTATCCGATTTTTACGATTTAGGTATCTATCGAAAGCTCTCGGAAAGGCGAGTCCAGCATGTCTCTTCGATTTTCATAATTTGGCATTTTTTCCATCAGTTACTAATGTTTTTGCAAAATGGGCGGATTTTCTGATGTTGTTCTGACCAGGGGGTTTTTTACAAAAATCGCAATTTAAGAATTTTTATGCTTTTCCTGGCAGCCCAAAGACAGCGCTTTCAAGCCGTTTGCGAAAACACAGCTTGGACAGCGCTTAAACCGGTTAAATTGCGTTTTGAACAAAAAAGTCTGCCCTTTTGGCATGAAAAATACCGAAAATCGAGCAAAAAATTCCGAAATTTCGCAAATCCGCAAGACGTGCTGAACTCGCCTTTCCGAGAGCTTTCGATAGATACCTAAATCGTAAAAATCGGACACGTCTGCGGCCGGCTAGGGGGAGGGGGTTTGGGACACCCTGTAGTGTTTTTGATAGATAGCCAAAACCGTCGAAATAGTACGAAACCAGCGGGGGAGGCGCTTCGCGACTCTCCCCCGCTGGACCCCGTCTAGGCCCTATTAATCGAGCGCCCTTACACATAAAGTTACCATGAAGAAAGAAAAACGCATCTCCCATGAAAACCTCTTCGTATTGGCATGCGGCGCAAGCTAAACTGCTAGTCTCGTTATAAGCCTGCGGCCCATGCTTGATCGGACAGGTCCTTATCCAGCGGTCAGCGCCGGTCGGCGCAGTCATCCTGCGGTCAAATCTTGAGCGGTTTGCTTCGAGATAAAGCCTGCGGCGCAATTTTGAGCGGTTACCTCCTTTTTAGCCTGCGGCGCTAGCTTGAGCGGCTAGCTTCGTTCTAAAGCCTGCGGCATGCGAGCGGCTAGCTTCGTTCTAAAGCCTGCGGCGCTAGCTTGTGGGGCTAGCTTCGTTCAAAAGCCGCGGCGTGCTGAGCGGCTAGCTTCGTTCTAAAAGCCTGCGGCGCTAGCTTGAGCGGCTAGCTTCGTTCTAAAGCCTGCGGCGCATGCTGAGCGGCTAGCTTCGTTCTAAAGCCTGCGGCGCATGCTTGAGCGGCTAGCTTCGTTCTAAAGCCTGCGGCGCTAGCTTGTGGGGCTAGCTTCGTTCTAAAGCCTGCGGCGCATGCTTGAGCGGCTAGCTTCGTTCTAAAGCGCGGCGCTAGCTTGAGCGGCTAGCTTCGTTCTAAAGCCTCGGCGCATGCTTGAGCGGCTAGCTTCGTTCTAAAGCCTGCGGCGCTAGCTTGTGGGGCAGCTTCGTTCTAAAAGCCTGCGGCGCTAGCTTGTGGGGCTAGCTTCGTTCTAAAGCCTGCGGCGCATGCTTGACGGCTAGCTTCGTTCTAAAAGCCTGCGGCGCTAGCTTGTGGGGCTAGCTTCGTTCTAAAGCCTGCGTCGCTAGCTTGTGGGGCTAGCTTCGTTCTAAAAGCCTGGGCGCATGCTTGAGCGGCTAGCTTCGTTCTAAAGCCGCGGCGCTAGCTTGTGGGGCTAGCTTCGTTCTAAAAGCCTCGGCGCTAGCTTGTGGGGCTAGCTTCGTTCTAAAGCCTGCGGCGCATGCTTGAGCGGCTAGCTTCGTTCTAAAGCCTGCGGCGCTAGCTTGAGCGGCTAGCTTCGTTCTAAAGCCTGCGGCGCATGCTTGAGCGGCTAGCTTCGTTCTAAAGCCTGCGGCGCTAGCTTGTGGGGCTAGCTTCGTTCTAAAGCCTGCGGCGCATGCTTGAGCGGCTAGCTTCGTTCTAAACTGCGGCGCTAGCTTGAGCGGCTAGCTTCGTTCTAAAGCCTGGCGCATGCTTGAGCGGCTGGCTTCGTTCTAAAAGCCTGCGGCGCATGCTTGACGGCTAGCTTCGTTCTAAAGCCTGCGGCGCTAGCTTGTGGGGCTAGCTTCGTTCTAAAAGCCTGCGGCGCATGCTTGAGCGGCTAGCTTCGTTCTAAAGCCGCGGCGCTAGCTTGTGGGGCTAGCTTCGTTCTAAAGCCTGCGGCGCATGCTTAGCGGCTAGCTTCGTTCTAAAGCCTGCGGCGCTAGCTTGAGCGGCTAGCTTCGTTCTAAAGCCTGCGGCGCATGCTTGAGCGGCTAGCTTCGTTCTAAAGCCTCGGCGCTAGCTTGTGGGGCTAGCTTCGTTCTAAAGCCTGCGGCGCATGCTTGAGCGGCTAGCTTCGTTCTAAAGCCTGCGGCGCTAGCTTGAGCGGCTAGCTTCGTTCTAAAGCCTGCGGCGCATAGCTTGAGCGGCTAGCTTCGTTCTAAAAGCCTGCGGCGCATGCTCGAGCGGCTAGCTTCGTTCTAAAGCCTGCGGCGCTAGCTTGTGGGGCTAGCTTCGTTCTAAAGCCTGCGGCGCTAGCTTGTGGGGCTAGCTTCGTTCTAAAGCCTGCGGCGCATGCCGAGCGGCTAGCTTCGTTCTAAAGCCTGCGGCGCTAGCTTGAGCGGCTAGCTTCGTTCTAAAGCCTGCGGCGCAGCTTGAGCGGCTAGCTTCGTTCTAAAGCCTCGGCGCTAGCTTGTGGGGCTAGCTTCGTTCTAAAGCCCGGCGCATGCTGAGCGGCTAGCTTCGTTCTAAAGCCTGCGGCGCTAGCTTGAGCGGCTAGCTTCGTTCTAAAGCCTCGGCGCATGCTTGAGCGGCTAGCTTCGTTCTAAAGCCTCGGCGCATGCTGACGGCTAGCTTCGTTCTAAAGCCTGCGGCGCTAGCTTGTGGGGCTAGCTTCGTTCTAAAGCCGCGGCGCATGCTTGAGCGGCTAGCTTCGTTCTAAAGCCGCGGCGCTGGCTTGTGGGGCTAGCTTCGTTCAAAAGCCTGCGGCGCATGCTTGAGCGGCTAGCTTCGTTCTAAAGCCTCGGCGCTAGCTTGTGGGGCTAGCTTCGTTCTAAAGCCTGCGGCGCTAGCTTGTGGGGCTAGCTTCGTTCTAAAGCCTGCGGCGCATGCTTGAGCGGCTAGCTTCGTTCTAAAGCCTGCGGCGCTAGCTTGAGCGGCTAGCTTCGTTCAAAGCCTGCGGCATGCTTGAGCGGCTAGCTTCGTTCTAAAGCCTGCGGCGCTAGCTTGTGGGGCTAGCTTCGTTCTAAAAGCCTCGGCATGCTTGAGCGGCTAGCTTCGTTCTAAAGCCGCGGCGCTAAGCTTGAGCGGCTAGCTTCGTTCTAAAGCCTCGGCGCATGCTTGAGCGGCTAGCTTCGTTCTAAAGCCTGCGGCGCATGCTTGAGCGGCTAGCTTCGTTCTAAAGCCTGCGGCGCTAGCTTGTGGGGCTAGCTTCGTTCTAAAGCCTGCGGCGCATGCTTGAGCGGCTAGCTTCGTTCTAAAGCCTGCGGCGCTAGCTTGTGGGGCTAGCTTCGTTCTAAAGCCTGCGGCGCATGCTTGAGCGGCTAGCTTCGTTCTAAAGCCTGCGGCGCTAGCTTGAGCGGCTAGCTTCGTTCTAAAGCCTGCGGCGCATGCTTGAGCGGCTAGCTTCGTTCTAAAGCCTGCGGCGCTGGCTTGTGGGGCTAGCTTCGTTCTAAAGCCTGCGGCGCATGCTTGAGCGGCTAGCTTCGTTCTAAAGCCTGCGGCGCTAGCTTGAGCGGCTAGCTTCGTTCTAAAGCCTGCGGCGCATGCTTGAGCGGCTAGCTTCGTTCTAAAGCCTGCGGCGCATGCTTGAGCGGCTAGCTTCGTTCTAAAGCCTGCGGCGCTAGCTTGTGGGGCTAGCTTCGTTCTAAAGCCTGCGGCGCATGCTTGAGCGGCTAGCTTCGTTCTAAAGCCTGCGGCGCTAGCTTGTGGGGCTAGCTTCGTTCTAAAAGCCTGCGGCGCATGCTTGAGCGGCTAGCTTCGTTCTAAAGCCTGCGGCGCTAGCTTGTGGGGCTAGCTTCGTTCTAAAGCCTGCGGCGCATGCTTGAGCGGCTAGCTTCGTTCTAAAGCCTGCGGCGCATGCTTGAGCGGTAGCTTCGTTCTAAAGCGGCGCTAGCTGTGGGGCTAGCTTCGTTCTAAAGCCTGCGGCGCTAGCTTGTGGGGCTAGCTTCGTTCAAAGCCTGCGGCGCATGCTTGAGCGGCTAGCTTCGTTCTAAAGCCTCGGCGCTAGCTGAGCGGCTAGCTTCGTTCTAAAGCCTCGGCGCATGCTTGAGCGGCTAGCTTCGTTCAAAAGCCCGCGGCGCTAGCTTGTGGGGCTAGCTTCGTTCTAAAGCCTGCGGCGCATGCTTGAGCGGCTAGCTTCGTTCTAAAGCCGCGGCGCAGCTTGTGGGCTAGCTTCGTTCAAAGCCTGCGGCGCATGCGAGCGGCTAGCTTCGTTCTAAAGCCTGCGGCGCTAGCTGAGCGGCTAGCTTCGTTCTAAAAGCCTGCGGCGCATGCCGAGCGGCTAGCTTCGTTCTAAAGCCTGCGGCGCATGCTTGAGCGGCTAGCTTCGTTCTAAAGCCTGCGGCGCTAGCTTGAGCGGCTAGCTTGTTCTAAAGCCTGCGGCGCTAGCTTGTGAGGTTAGCTTCGTTCTAAAGCTTGCGGCGCTAGCTTTTGGGGCTAGCTTCGTTTCAAAGCCCACGGCTCAAGCTTGTGAGGTTAGCTTCATACTTAAGCCTGCGGCGCTAGCTTGAGCCTCCTAACCTGCGGCGCAATTTTGAAGCGCTGGCTCTGACCTTGGGCCCGCGGCGCTAGCTTGCCCGGCTAACTTCCTTCCGAAGCCTGCTGCGCTAGTTTCACCGGCTAGCGTCGTTCCAAACTCTGCGGCGCTAGCTTGATCAGTTAGCTTGATTCCTTGGCCTGCGGCGCATGCTTGAGCGGGTAGCTTCATTCTATAGGCTGCGGCTTGAGTGACTAACTTCATAATAACGTCCCTACACGGAAATCTAATCCAAACGCACTTTCCGCGCAAAAAGCAAAACAACTAAGGTTTCCGAGGATCGAACCACCGATGGTTAGATTAGCAGGGCGAAGCGCTAACCACTACACCAGCAATGCTTGCAGCCCGCCAAACACCCCTTTATGTCTCAGGGGACTGCCCGGGGCAGGGGAAGGAAAGGCATCGAGAGGCTGATCCAAAGAGACGACCAAACTCGCGAGTGCAACTTGCAAGAATGAGCAAATTGTATTTTTCCACATTATGCAAATTAGGCTTCCCGGACCCCCAAAAATCAATAAAACCGGCTTTAACTTTGTAAACTTGTATTTTATCGGGATTCTGAAAACGCCATCGGAAAGAGGAGGGTCGATTCCCCCGGGTGACGGAGAATTAGGGCATTTTGGACACGGGAAGGGCCTCAAATCGGGCCTCGAAAGTGACATCCACACACACACACAGAGATACACTCCAAAATTATATAAGGTAGGATTTTGCGAAAATGGCGTTTTTCTATATTTTCGTTTTGGGAGTTTAGAAATGATGCATTGTTAGTAAAGCACTTTAAGAGGCTAAAAATTGGCCCGGAAAATTGTTTAAATGTTTTTACCCACGTTGACCCGTTCCAGCCAATTTTTGAATGCGTCCGTCTGGTCGGATTGGACGGTCTCGCTGTCGGCGCTGAACTCCTTGCAGGCCGTGTCCTACAAACGTTGGGCAAAGGTCGTGCTCCAGGCTACGGTTCAGGTATACCCCCCGAGCCCCGGCTCCTCAGCCACACCTCCTATTAGTGCGCCGGGTATCTCAAAATGTTGCCGTAGTCGAAACTTATAAAAAACTGTTTACTTGCGTCAAAAAGTCCTGGAAAATTGTTGACAAAAATTTAAAAGCTAGAAAGATTAAGTCGCAATGGCACCGTGTAGTTTGTGTGTAGTTTCCAACTAAAATATTCTCGTTTTTCGATGTTTTTTCGACTCAAACGTACGCTAGTCGTATTTTACAAAGCAAGAGCTACATTTTGGTACCCTTGCCAGCTCTGTAAGTCTATGGAATGTCGAGATACGAAAACATAATTTGGGCCGGAAAAATTACCCAGTCTTCTAATTGTTAGAAAACTTTTTCTAAAAATTTTTGATGCGGAAAACAATTTGATTCGGGGTTTTCGACCACGGCGAACATTTTGGGATTCTCGGCGCTTTTATAGGAGGTATGACGGAGGAGCTGGGCTGGGGGGAGGGTAAACTGAACGCTAACCGGGCTCCAACCCGGCAGAACCTTACCCAAAACTCCCGATCAGCCTCGTACTGCTTGTCAATTGCTGTGTCCTGGATGCTGAGAAGAGCATACGCGCAACCACACGGGCCTCTAGAATCAACAAGGCTCTTTAGGATTTCCGGGATTGCTGGATTTCCGTGGCCAGCCTTGCCGGTCCCTCTAAAGGAACAACACCTACTGTATGGATTTGAGGCTGTAGCTGGAGATGAGGGCAACGACGGCCACGATGAGGAACAGGGTGATAGTCCACCCGTGCGAGCAGCCTAGTAGCAGCTAATTTGCATGCGAGGGTTTGGGAAGAAATCGAGGATACCTTGACGCAAATACACATGACGCCACCGAGCGGGTAGAGGATGTGAAAATGGGCGTTTATAGCGGCCTGGTTCTAGTTTTTCACTATGCAAATTAGTCGCTAAGGAGGAATATTATGCAAATTATGGAAATCGGAGGATTTTTGGTTCTTGGGTGAATCGGAGCACTTTTTGAGCATTTTCATTTATTCAAACTTCTGATGACCGCTCGCCGTATGTAAAGAGCGAGAGAGAGCGAGAGCGAGATAGAGAGAGAGAGAGGGCGATAGATAGAAGCGAGAGATAGAGAGAGAAAGAGAAAAAGAAAGCGTGAGAGCGAACGAGAGAGTCAGAGAGAGAGAGAGAGAGAGAGAGAGAGAGAGAGAGAGAGAGAGAGAGTTAGAGAGAGAGTAGTATTTTTACGAATCCAATTCCACGGCAATACTTTATTCGGGAAGCGGGCCTGGTGCGTTGCCAAGAAATACACATAGAGTGGGAGAAACGGATACGATAGAACGAAATCAGCCGCACAACGGTGGATAGATAGTGTGGATCGTTGCATACGGGTCGAGTCGGCGGGGTGTCGAGAGGATTTGGGCGGAATTCGTGAAGAGAGTGGTCATCAGCTTGGCTCTGAAAGGTTTGATAGTCCAAGGTTGCCGTTTTTTGGGCAAACTGCGTGAACGCATTCTAATCCCCCCCGCTAACGAACTAAAACATTAAAAATTTAAAGAAAAGGATCAGCCAAATTTCCGCCCCCTCCCCCCCGATAAGAGGCCAGTACCTAAAAGACTAGTCTTTATTAGACAGGCCCGACCTTCACTCACCATTTTCTTCCTTTCTTTCCACGGACCTCGCGGCGCGCCTTCTCCTGGAAGGTGTGCACGATGTAGGCGACGATCAGGCCCGCGTAGATGGCGTAGATGACTGGGCCGCCTGCAATTTGTCGATGCACAGCTGCGGTAAACCATGCCCCGTACACGTTATGACCGAGCGGCTCCACGTGCTAGATAGATGGTGGCCTGGTAGATGGCAAAGCCGGAGATGCAGAACATCACCACCTAGACGAGCGGGATTATTGCTAGTGGAAGGATTGGATACGGTAAAGGCGAGCACCGGAATGTGCCAAATGAATTGAGTCTCCTTTTTCAGGCCGATGCACGAGACGACGGCGGATACGATGGCCAGCAGCATCACTGGAAATTGGGCTTGGGCTTAGGCTTAGGCTTAGGCTTAGGCTTAGGCCTTGCTTAGGCTTAGCTTAGGTTTAGGCTTAGGCTTAGGCTTAGGCTTAGGCCTTGCTTAGGCTTAGCTTAGGCTTAGGCTTAGGCCTTGCTTAGGCTTAGCTTAGGTTTAGGCTTAGGCTTAGGCTTATGTTTAGGATTAGGCTTAGGCTAGGTTTAGGTTTAGGCTTAGGCTTAGGCTCAGGCTTAAGTTTAGGCTTAGGCTTTTTCGGCTTTGCCTTAGGCCTGAACCAACCAAGAACTGCAAAGATATAGAGGCGCGACGAGGTTACGGGCGAGCAGCGACTGTAATTTTTGGTGTTTTTCGCGAGAGAGAGAGAGAGAGAGAGAGAGAGAGAGAGAGAGAGAGCGATTCAGACAGCCAGACTGTACCTACATGATAAGCATCTGCAGCTCTTTCTCCACCTTGTCGGTGATCTCGCTTTCTTTGCGATCGCCCCAGAAGGCCTGTAGGATCTGTTATCTGAGATTCTGCCTTTATCTGACCTTCTTGGTATCTTCGCTGGACTCGGCGAGGAGTTCGGCGCTGGTCTTCTTGTAGTCTTTGGTGTCGAGTGCCGCCGGGTCGCATCGTTCGTACTATAACAATTTATCAGTGTCTCTGCCAGCGACCTACCCATGTTTTGGCCTCGTCGACGAGCGGCTGATAGTCCTTATTCTTCTTGTGCAAATTTTTGGCCACCGTCGTCATGCCGCACACGCACGGGTGCCGGAAATAGGGGTACGGTAGAATGGGTAGGGGTTGGGTTCAGTGGAGTTGGTACCAGATACTGAATAATATCGGAAACGATTTAGGAGGGGGGGTTCTGAACTTGTTCAACTCGTTGGCTTGCGTGGCTTCGCAGACCAGTTCTACGTAATCAAGAGAATTTGTTGTGTTTCTCGAGCTCGCGCTGAACTTGTCCAACTCGTTGGCTTGCGTGGTTTCGATGTAGCTTTTTAATTAGTGAAGAGTAGTTATGCTTCTAAAGGACTCGTTGAACTCGTCGAACTCGTCGAACTAGCCCACATTTGAGGTTATGAGGATCGGTTTAGCAAATTCTTTACTCGTTGAGCCCGGCGGCGATGAGCATCCACGCGGCGGACACCAAGGCGATCACGTGCATGACGACGATGAACACGTTGCACCCGGCCATGAACCACTGCAAGCCGTAGGTGGGATTTAAGGGCCCCGGAAACTCCTAACTTACCTTCAGAAACTTGCACATCGTTGCGACGGTGTGTCGAAGGTGGAATGACCCTGATTTTTCGACGGTTAGACCTCGAGGAGATTATGGAAATTTTTCGCATGCAAATAACATATAATTTTTTGATTCCGAAGCGTTTTCGGTACTGAGCGTTTAGAGGGGGGGAGAATAATTTCTCAGTTTCAAAACCCCAACGCCACACGCAAACACATCTCTTGTCAACACGCCTTGGCGAACAATTCATTCACGAAGCCGAGCCGATGGTATAAAGACGCAAAAATCACAGCAAAACAGGAACACGTGGTGGGCGAGTCTTTGGAGGGGAAGCAGGGGGGTGTAATTGGAATCACATCGTCGTCGGGTAGCAGAGGCTAGCTTAGTCGATCAGCTACGGTTGCTCCTGGAAGGTAAGGTTCATAAAGACGCAAATCCGCCGCATTAAAATCATCATGGAAAAGTACTTTCTTTTTTTGACATTTTTGGTCGAAAAATCGATGTTTTTTCGTATTTTTTTTATTTTAATTTTTTTTTTTTTTTTTAAAATTTTTTTTTTTTTTTTTTTTAAATATATTTTTTTTTTTTTTTTTTTTTTTTTTTTTTTTTTATTTAAAAATTTTATAATTTTTTTATTTTTTTTTTTTTATTAGGTAAAATTATTTTTTTTTTAAATTTAGTATGGCTGTCTTTGTCCCTTTAATTATCCCCTACATGGAGATACCTGCGAGAGCTGAGCGCCTTGCGGGAATGGCGACTAGGGCGACGCTTGATCCGTCCATCGCTTTGTGCAGATGATCTTCCGGATGACCTGGCGGATCTCTTGGATGGATGTGGGGCTCGTTCGCGATGTGTCGTCACACGATGGCTGCTGTTTGATCGATGACTCGGCCCATCCGTCACATCGGCTTGAGTGGGTTGGACGGGCAGGAGACGATACTCCTCGCGGGCCGTGTTGTACGCCCAGCGGGCAAAGCCGAGCAGCACCAGCAGGTAGGCCACCAGATGGACGGGGATGTCTAAAAGAAAAAAGGTACTGGGCTGTTAGCAGGGGGGCTGTAGCTGCAGGGGATTTTCCGTAGCCCCTCTCAAAAATATAAACTATCTTAGCGCATCTTACACACTTTTTTAGGTATAAAGTATCGCAAAAAGATTTATCATAGTGTTCGAAAATATAAGGAAAGCGCCTAAAATTGACCAAATCGGAAAAGTTATAATTTTTTTCGCGAATTTGCTGTCATTTTCTTACGATAAGATTTTTACAACGTTTTTAGATACAAAGCGTTGGCCATGACTTGCCGGTCCCTTTAAAACCTAAAATGGAAAACCGTACACAGGGCCAAAAGGGTGTACAGCCAGTCACGCAACACACTAGCCGTATGCCAGAGGAGCACCGCCGAGAGGATGAGGGCGATCGCCTGAACGGGAAAATATGTGTTAAAAATGCCGACAGCACGGGTACGCAAAATGCCGAAAGGAAGAAACGATTTGTTGTCGGTGTTTTGCCGGGCCAAGAAAAAGAAAATAGTTGGATACCGTGGCGCAGATGGCGGGCGTCTGCCAGCCCCACTGGTTCTCATTCCACGATCCGATACATGACAGCACCGTCGCGAAGATGGCAAAGATGGGCACTGCAAGGAAGTATGGGCTTTTATCTTCGTTCTCTCACTCTCTCTCTCTCACTCACGCTCTCGCTCCCCTCTCTCCCTCTCTCGCTCTATCTCTCGCTCTCATGGCAAAGGCAAGTTGACCCCAAAAAACTTACACAGCACAAACCAGCCGAACACCCAGGCATTCTGGGAGAGCACGCAAAGCCTAAAACCGGAAAATAAGAAAGAGAGAGAGAGAGAGAGAGAGAGAGAGAGAGAGAGAAATAATTCCCCTACGCATCCGCAACGCACCTATTGACGAATATCATCTTGGATATGGTGAAGTGGGGCATCTCCGTGGAAGTGGTCATGACGATCGGGCGGCGTTTCGGAGGGAGTAGTGGAGACTCGACTTGCTCGAGACCGACATTCACTTCCGGCTAAACGGACAGCGCGGTTTTAATTATGAAGCCGACTTACCGCATATTTGCCAAGGTCGTACATCTCGTCCATGCGCTTCTCTTTGTCCCGGTTGGCGATGTGGTTCAGCCAGGCCTCGCACTCGTGGCGCTAAAATCGAGGGTTTGACTTGACCCTTCACTGTTCCTTTAAAATCCCTTACATAGTCCTCGCGCTCCCGAACGCCGAAACGCATGTAGTTCTTCTCGATGCCCTCGTAGCTGCTGTGGTTCAGCGAGACGTCGGGAACCACCGCGAGATAACATGCGCATGGGCCACTAAATGGTCAATAATCTCTGCTGGCCCTCCTCAATGGTCTCTGCTAGCCTGCCCGAACCTCCGAAACCCCGCACATTAATGACTAACCGAATTGTCGATAGGAGTACGGTCAGACAGCCGAGGACGACGGCGACCAGCAGGTTGTAGATGATGTTGTACCCATTGACGAGCCGTACGAACGTCTAATGCATTTGAAAGAGAACAAAAGCGAGCAACCTTTAGCTTGCAGCACATTGTGGGAGTGAGCGGTTTTTCGAATGGTTTTGATGTTAATTAGCATGATCGGATGCAAAGATGGCAGGCTAGCAGAGACCATTGAGGAGGCCTTGCAGAGACCATTGAGGAGAGCTAGCATAGACCATTGAGGAGGGCTTGCAGGGAAAATTTAGGAGAACAAGCATAGGCCAGTGGGCTGGTGTCTGTAGTTTGTAGTTCGTGCTCGTTTTAAAGGTTCACACTCTTTATTACTGTGTAGGTAAAAAATCGTAGATCATGAAGTTTGCAAAAATGCATCGGGCTTTGCGAGAAATTGCCGTAACCCGTGCAGCACAAAAATCAATTAAAAAAATCAAGGGATACCGTTTTCAAGGTTTGCTAAAGCTGGTTAGGTGAGATTTGTACGCGCGGTTAACAATATTCTAACTGGGGACGAGAGAGACATCGAAAAAGCAAGAAATAGCGAAAAATTATGAAACGTTTGAGATTCCGCTGGATAGCCACCATAAAGCTCGAAAAATTTACAAGACAATAGCACGATTTGTAAAGTTTCTAGTTTAGCAAAATGGCGTTTTTTAGGTTATGGGAGGTTGTGGTTTCGGAGGTGCTGTGTGTACCATTGGGCGATTTTCTCGTTGCGGGCTTTCGGTTGCCTAAAAATGTTTTATTATGTTTTTATTTAAGTGCTTTTCAATTCTGATGCTTCAAAAAAGTTGTATATTTTGATTTGTCTATATTGTGCACTTACATTATAGCCTCGCATTCGCCGAATACTCCTTCGGATCCAAGACTCTTCGGTTTCTGATCGTTTCATCGAGAGTCGCTTGTGGTTTGCGATTTCCTGAATCTAGAAAATTAATGGTTTGAGCTTTCCTAAAAGTATTTGCTATCCCTCCCCAATGGTCTCTGCTAGCTTTCCTGGATTTTCTAAACTCTCCCTCACTCGCTTTCCCTCACTCTCTCTCTCACTTTTTCTCACATTCTTTCGCTCTCTCCCGATCTCTCTCACTCGCTCTCTCTCACTCTTTTCCTCTCTCACTCGCTCTCTCACTCACGCTCACTCTATCGCTCTCTCACTCTCTCTCGCTGTCCCTCCCTCGCTCTCTCGCGATCTCTCGCTCACTCTAGCGTTCCCTTCTCTCTCTTTCTCTGTCACTCTCACTCTCTCTCCCTCACTCTCTCACTCTCCCTCTCTCTTACTCTCTCCCTCTCTCTCACCTTATACGGATTCTCGAATCTCCCCTCATAAATCCCATCCGAACTTGGTGATGTCGGCATCGAATGTTCCATATAATCGAGTAGTGCCCTCCTCTTCCTCCTAGATCTGCATATTTCAACATTTTAGCCGGGTTACTGTAGGCTCACATTTAGGAGTGTGGACAGGATAGTTTTAAGGTTTTGACACTCACCGTTCCTTATAGAAAAGAAGGCCAAAAACGAGGGAAAGGGCGAGGAAGATGAGCATCAACGTCCCGCCGGTGCCCATCGCTATTTGTTCGGCTGGAAAAAAATTAACATTAGAAATTGAAAAACTGCTTTAATGTTAACAAAGCAATATAAAAATTTTACAGGTAATTCAAGAGAAAGCTTACTTCTTGATCCTTCAAAAATTATTGGTGTATCGCACGTCTCGCCGCCAAAGTTGCCGGCACAACTGAAATTAGGCAAATAATCAATTTTAGCATTTTTATGAATTTCCACAAGAATCACTGCTAGACTGCCCGCAAACTGTTTCCACAAGATCTCTGCTAGATATTTTCTTTAGATTTTTCTGGCTAGATTTTTGGTTGTTTTGTACATTGGATTTTTCTAGCAAATTCCGCAAGAATCCCTGATGTCCGGCCTACTTCTGTTAAAAAATCAGCCAATTTATTCACTGCTGGAATGCCCTTTTATCAAAATACAATTTCCACAATAATCTCTGCTAGAATACCTTATTAATAAAGTGTTATTTTTCAGCTATCGGGTTCAGTTTTCTGGCCTTTCACGAAAAAATTGGCTATAAAAAATTCCAAATATGAAAAACCAATTTCCGCAAAGAATCACTGCTAGCATGCCTAATTTCCTTTTTACACCAAAAACCTACAAGCACCGCTCGAGCTTCTTCTCGAGTACGCACACGCCGCCATTGTAGCAGACCTTTTGCGAGGAGGGCGGGCAGGCGCGCATCCCGTTTTTAATCGATACCTATAGAAAAAAGTTTGGCCTCAATTTTAGCACTATCTTATGTTAGAAACTTAGTTAAATTGTTCTTAAAATTGTACCTTTTCCTTCAGTGTGATGGGTTTTGTGAAAACCGAGGGTCCGGCTTTCTCTTGCACCTCACACCGTACGCCTCCGCCATGATCGCCCGTCTTGAAGCTGTCCACGTTTACGGAAAGCCTGAAAATTAGAAAACTCAATAAGATACTAGCAAAATTTGTCTATAAATCCTCAAAAACCTCTGCTAGCTTGCCACTCATTTAGTTTTTAGCAATTTTTAATTTTTACGCTTTATTTAAAGTCCTAAAGGGTCTCTGTAAGTTGCCCAATTCCACAAAGAACCCCTGCTAGCTTGCCTCTCCCAAAAATTCCGCAAAATCCTAAAAAACCTCTGCTAGTCTGCCCACCAATTATTTTCCTTGACCGCCTCGAGTTTGGTGGGGCCGCTCTCAAAATTAAGTGTGTCCACGTCAAATGAGTCGCTCTCCACGAGACACCTAAAAACGTAGAAGTACGTTACGTTACGCTACAGTAATTCACCTCAGCTCAAAGGCATCTCCTTGCTGAAAATAGAGCTCGGCAGGCTCAGGGTCATCTGAAAAATGGCATTTTAAAGGCACTTCGCCGGCATGGTACCTGGATTTAGTACGACCTCGTAGACCAGATTTACTTTGGAGTCTTTTGAACTGCGACGTATTCTTACGGAATCGCCCATCTTGGGGGTACGCTGAAAAGTGATTATGGGTGCGAAAAACTTAGAAAGTAAAGTAATGTAATGGAAATGGAAAGTAAGGAAGGAAGTAAGTAATGGAAAAAAGTAACAAAAATAGTTGTTAAATTTAAAATTTAAAGATTCTGAAAAATGCTGGCGAGCTAGCAGAGATCCTTGGAGAAGAGCTCAAGATACTAGAGACCGGCTAACAAATATTAAAAGGGTGAGATAGCAGAGGTTTCGGATCTTGTAGAATCACTTTTCTAGGGCAAACTAGCAGACAATCTTGTGGAATGTGTAAGGCCAAGGAGGGAAGCTTGCAAAGGCCATTGAGGAATTAGTTTCAGAAGGCTAACGAATTGGCAAACTTTCCGGAAACTGGAAAAACCTGGAATGCGGGTGGGGTGGGCACAGTTTTCTTGGGCGGGCGAGATGAAAGAGAGAGAGCGAGAGAGAGAGAGAGAGAGAGAGAGAGACAGAGAGAGAAAGACCGAGTAAATGGGGCGTGAGAGCTCAAGCCAAGTGAGTGAGTCATCCGCTCCCATGCTAGCCCACTCGCTACTGATCCGTGATCCAAACAATAGAAAGACACGGCCCATATCGTTGGCTTACGGTATCCACATCTGTGCTGGGAAAGTCGTTGGGATTGAGGTGACCGTCTAATGGCTTTTCCTCCATCCTCCCCATGCCCTTCAACGATAAATTCGTCACCCCTGCTGGCCGTACGACGGAGGGCAAATGACGCAATGCCTACGAATTTCTGGCGGGGTGGAAAGTTTGGGAAATTTGAATGGGGGGTGGTTTGGCTTAGGTTAGGGTTAGGCTTGGGCTTAGGTTTCGCTTAGACTTAGGCTTACGCTTAGGCTTAGGCTTAGGTTAGGCTTAGGCTTAGGCTTAGGCTTAGGCTTAGGCTTAGGCTTAGGCTTAGGCTTAGGCTTAGGCTTAGGCTTAGGCTCCCCAGCAAAAAAAGAGCAAGCAACCGTGACAAGCTAGTCAAAAACGTTGGGGAAATTAGGGGTAACTATTATAACAGTATTTTTAAGGCCAAGGCAGGTTAGCAGAAATTATTTAAATGTATTTAAAAAATTCTAGCTTTACTTCTCTCAGAAACCAGAATCTGACGAATCGAAATCCCGAATTGCAGGCGATGGCAGTGCAAAAAAGTTTTATGGGGCGACCAACGGACCGCAGCCAGTCCAAGAGGGCCGATAAAAAAAATTTTCTGTTTGCGAATGGGGACCGAGGGGCCACGCGGGCCAGGTCCTCGAGTTGCTGGGCTTCATCCGCCCCGGAAAGAGACCTGAAAAAAACTCCCAAAAACCAGGGTCGAAAAACGTGCGCAACATCCCGAAAAACCAGGGCGAACTGTAAACAATTTGCCGGGCTTTATCGGTGAGAGATGGGCGGCCAGAACTAAAAATTTGCTCAGGAAAAAGAGAGAAATTTTTTCAAAGAATTATTCATATCGTTAATGCGCCAGCCGCCTACTAGGTATTTTAAAATGGGGTAATTTATTAACGAGCATTTTTGGGAATATGAAATTCACCCATCACTGGAAAGGTCAGAGATCCAAACGCATTCAAAACTTGTAAAATCGGTTAGAGAATCGGTTAAATAAAATTGTAATAAAAAAAGTTTCGCAGGTTTTTAATTGGTTTCAATTCTAAGGCATTCAGTTCAACATTTTAATAGGCATTTAATTCACCAAGAAAAATGTACCACAAAATGGTCATCCTGGACTCCAAATACTCAATGTTTGTTTACCGGGCCATTAAAGCTATCAGGAAATTGCTATGAGTCAAGTCTAGATTGTGTGCCTTTTTGGGTATGGAAAGGCGTCAACTACCGTACCGCCAACGCCGCCGTACCGACTGCCAAGAAGCCGTCTCCCAAAATGCCGCCAGTTTCAATCTTAAACCTTCAAAATGCCGAATGCCGAAAACACCTACAGGCCATGATGAACATAGAGAACAGGGAAGGCCAAAATACCGACAAGACGAAACGCCGACAAGCGAATGTCATAGCCAAAATACCGACTAGTTGAAAGCCGAATATCTATAACCAAAATACCAAGCGGAAAATACCGACAAGCCAAAATCGAGTCGCTGGCAAGAAAAACCTCTCTGTGTTCGACTACGGTAACTTTGGGGGAAGGGGTGTGGAAAGTACGGAGCAATACAATGAACACGAACTAGCTAAGTACACCTTCTGGAAGCGTAAGTTTTCGAAAGCCTACGTAAAATTTGGCGCCAGAAGGGGCTGATGGTGTTGGAGGTGGTGCTCCCGGCACCTTTATGTGAATTCTAAAGGCCGCGGAGCATTTCGTATCGGTTCAAATGGGCGGATTGCGTGGTTTGAAGTGGATGACTTTCACGAATATGGCGCTGCCCCCCTCCTCCCGCCTACAATACCCTCCACTAAACAAACAGTGACGAAAGTTTTTTCTAGCGGAAATGCCTGACTTTTTCACATATCGTTGCACCGTCCTCTTGACCATATTGCGCAACGGGACTGCAAAAACATCCGAGAAAAAAAGGGAAAGGTGCTAAACCGTGCCAGGCGCGCGGGAATCGGGGTCAAAAATCTATGGGCTCAGGAAACTTGGAAAACTTCATAAAAAAAATCTTCAAAAATGTTCTTTAAAGGCTTGGCAAGTCACGAGTAGAATTTTTCGACGGCTTTCAAAATTTCATACATGTATTGGTTTATAAGTTTCCCAAAAATTATAAAAACCTTTTTGACATTCTAAATTCTCAAAAAATCAAAAAATCTCAACAACGCTAAAGAAGTCAAAAACCCCGTAAAATTCACTTTAAATGGAAAGCTCAAATAATTTGCTAAAAGGGCGCAAAAATATTTTAGCAACTCGCTTTGGCAAACAGGAAAAACACACAAAAAGCAGCAAAAAAAATAACTGCTTATATGTAGCTGGCGTTTTTCGATAAATCTCATATCTTTCTGGCCGCTCCCTAGGGTGACTTACCCAGTGACTTTTGCTATCTAGGCAAACACGCCCCGTTTTTGCCTGAAGACGCCGCCCTGCAGTTGGGGCGAGGTTTTGGAAGACCGCGATAAGCGATGCAAAATAGTACATGGATCACCTGGATCATTTGGCTTTGGCCCGTTTTAGCTAATATTTTTGCCTGGTTGAAAAATCTAAGCAAAACGGTCAAATTTACGTTTTTTGGGATTGTTTGAGATTTTTAAGGAGTAATTTGCCATCGATAAAAATACACTCTGGAGAGCATCGAGCAGAGATACTGCAAACTCTATAAAAATCGTAATGGACAAAAGTAAGAAACTAATCTTTCGATACAATTCTCTAAATTAGCGCAGTTTGTGTGTATTTTTCATCAATTTTTTTGTGAAAGTATGCCATAGCAACTTTTCTGTGAACTTTTCAAAATTTTAAAATTTTCTATAATTCTTAATGGATTTCCGGGCCAAACCAGAGCAAGGGTAAATACGTAGCCACACGGAAACTCAACAGTAGAACCGCCACAATTCCGAATTTTTCGTGAAAATCGATGAATTCCAGAGGGGAGCGCGCGGTTGATGTAGAGCAAAATGTGTGCGCGACCAGGGTGTGACGTGTTAGTGCGGGGCAAAAAATGGCTGCAAACGGTGGTTCGTCAAATAGAGGTAGAGATTGGGGAGCAAGAGACGAGGAGGAGCAGGCGGGATTGGGGGAATCCCCAGCCTGGCCGGTTGATTGGTACTCGTCAATTGGAATGTTGTGGAAAAACTGATTTTCGAACCCCGGCGTTTTGATTAGTTCGCCGAGGGTTACGGTGGGAATTAGCGGAGGTTTAATTCGGTTGTTATTCGGGGAGGACAATGGGGCGGAAAAACAAAAGTTTTAACGCGAAAATGGTTGGTTTGTGTGGTTTAAAAACGAATAAATGATACCAAAAAGCTGCTCGAAAGGCCCGGTTTTTTTCTATCAGCGATAAATGTCTAGTAGCGTAGTTGTAAGTATTTTAATCGTATCTTTGGCAAAATTTAGCTATATTTCAAACCGCAAGACTTCTTAAAAACGTTAAAAAGTTGTTCAAAATCCTCAGCGAAAATCTAAGTCTTTGTTTTTTCAACAAAAATTGCGAAAATTTTGCATTTATTTATAGCGAAGAACGGAATAAAAACGTTTTTCGGGCCGATTCTGAATTTGCGCCTAATTTTTGCCAAAATTTTCTGGTTCTGGAGTCGTGCTCGGTTTTCTGAGCTAGGCAGACGCGCGGAATTTCGGCTCGGGAGTAGCCGGAGGTTGTTTTTGTTACTTTGATCGAGGAAGGGACTTTAAAACCTAGGTATGAACTTTGAAAGAAGCACAAGGCTAAAACCGCAGAGCCCCAGTTTTTGTGGGGATTACGAAAGGCGGGATGGGGGAAGGGCTTGGGAAGGAGGCACGTTTCTCGACAAGGCAAGCAAACCTTTCACTTTTCCGGGGGAACAATGTGCACAGATCAGAAAAGGTGTTCAGAACAACTTCGAAATTTGGATAATTTCAGATCTCGAGTAAAGTAAAAAGAATTCTTTATCACCTTCTCATGAATTCTCTGCATTTTAGATGTTTTCTAAAAGGCTGAAAAAGCGATGGATTTCGTGAATAATAGATAAGATCAGGAAGGTAATAAAAATATATACAAAAATATAATATTTTACGCCTTTTGGAGGCCAATACATCAATATAATATTATGCTTTATGAAGCCAAATAAAAATCATCAAGCCATGCGCCTCTAAATATCCGGCAAAATGCCCGAAATTCGAGAAGTCGAGCTCCAGTTTCAGAGCAAAGCGTCAAGAGCAAGAAAAGCGTCAGTGGGAGGAGGCAAAGAGCAGGTCAGTCAGGTGGAAAGGCCAAAATAGAAATAGAAAATCAAAGAAGTCTTGAATTTTCGTCATTCCATTCAAGTGACGAGGGCTTCCGGGTTTCGCAGGCATCGCAGGCATGGCCTTGTGATAAGAATTTCTGCGGCTTCTGCCATGCGCTAATAGCGCTCGT